GTGCAGAGAAAGGTTTGTGGCCCCCCCCCCCCCCCCCCAAATGAGTGTTATCTTTTGGCTGTCTTGAAGTCTTGAGTCAAGAATTTGGCATCCCTTAGAACTACCACACCCTTCTCCATTGATCACCATGTAATGTAAAGATCTGAGTTATTCAGACTTGACCTTTATTTATCCTTTCACTTCACAGGAACAGGCTGTGCCTTTGTGTGTGTAAGGTGTGAGATACTGCGGTTGGTCCCTGATGCTTGCAAGTTCTCTGCTTAGATCATGTAATACAGATAAAAGGTCACAGTTGGCGTCAGTTGAAGGTCCTCCTTGCTTTCTCAAGGTTGTCCTATTGCTGACCCCCTTCTGACTGTACTGAATTTTCTTGTCCTGTCCTTTTCCCAATATTCTTTGGATTTTTGTGTGCGTCATACTCCCAAAGGATTTCCGGGAAAGAGGGCTTGAGATTATTTGTAAAATATTTCCTAGTTGTAAGTGCACTCTCCAGAGCACTTGCTCCGATTGCGTAGTGATACTAATTAAAACTTCCTCACATGTTCTTGTTTTATCTGTCCTGTCACGTCCTCTGAGAATGGCCATTTGGGTAGCTGATAGGTAGACTGTAGCCTCTTTTGAGACATGATGCATCTGTCTGAATAACACATGCTTAGGACTTTCTTTGAACAATTCTATTTTTAGAACAGTCCAAAGTGTTTAGATCCGGTGGAAGTACGAAAACAGCAGACCCATTCAGTTCCATGCATCTCTAGAAATGAAAGATGGGGATGGACCCACTTGCTCAATTAAAGTGGATTTAAAAGCTTAGCATATTTAATGATGTGTTCACAGGTGCTTTGTTCTGCACTTCTCCAGTACCTTTCATTTGAGGATCACAAACATACTGTGGGGCAGCTAAGAGTCTTTTTTGGACATCTGCAGCACTGAAATGTGGCTTTCTCTTGATTGGAATGCGGCAACAGTTTAAATTATTGCAGTGCTGTGAAATAGTACAGGGGAGGAAGCAAGCACCCTATTCAGTTGAAGCTGCAGGTAGATTTTGGAAAGGCAAAATATATTTAATCAAGTTCATATTTGTCAGGAATACCAGTTACTATCCAGACTTTCATGTTTAATTTCTTGAAATGCACACAATCTATCCTGGCTCCTTGAAGCGCACCAGAAGTATTTAATATCTTGGACTCGATGTCAGTGCATTTTGTTTCTGCTTTGCTTTTTTTTTCTTCCTATTCATATAGAAGCAGTAAAGCCCTCTGATACTCATGCTAGTTGGCTGATTTCTAGTAACTGGGGATTTTGTAGTGCACAGCCTTAGCTGTGGAGGATGCTGCCAGCTGTGATGTCTTAATTATCCTCTGGGTGAGGGTTGGTTATTATCCAGTGCTACAGAGGTATCCCTCCCTGGTGTAGCCTTGTTACTCCCTGGTGTAGCCTTGTTAATGGCTAAATTAAATGTTAGGTAGATTTAATTTTTTAAATTGTATCAGACCAGGCACAGTGCCATAAGTATATTGGCAGTGGCAAAGTCCAGTAGAGCTTGGTCTCTTCATAGTTTTGTGCCTCTGACTTGGAGAAGGAGCCATCATGCCAGTCTTACAAGGCCATGTCTGGCTTGCCTGGGCTGAAGTATTGATAAACTTGGCTCTTCATGGCCAGAAGGATGGGGAAGGGAATTGAAAAGGGAACCATGATAGTTCTACAAGGCCACTTCTAGTGAATCTTGTTTTTTATAATGAAAACTGGAAAATAGGCACTGGAATGGTGGACCCAAACTAGAAATACCACTTTTTCAATACTTAAGTAGTTTAAAATGGACAGTTAAACAAGAGTTGCTAAACCACCTTGAGAGTCTTGTCTTGGAAGATCCCTAACAAATGCCTTTTGAGTTATGTGCTGTTTCAGGACATAAAATGGCACATTTGTTAGCCACAAGGTAGAAGGTCATTCAGAACTGTTTGTTTTTTATCCCATTGTTACACAGCTGCTAGCAGTAATTTGGACCTTGTTAATATGTAGATTTATCAGCCATGTGTAAGAAAAGTGCATTACAGTGGTAAATATCCAAGGTCGGCATAATTCAAGATAAAGCTTAATAATTATCTTATCACATTAGTATTCTTATACAACTATGTGTTTAGTGACAGCCTTTTTGCAAGAACTTCAAGGTTGCATCTTTTTACTGTCAGCTGCTTTGTTCTAAGCAAATGCACCAGCTGCGGTGGTTTTGTTCGGGCTCCAGTTAATCATTGCTGACAATAAGCCCTCTGAAATCTTGCACAGGAGCTTGGTACTTTGCATTATCTTAATTGTATTAGCGTTCAAATATGTGGGGAGGGGTTTTGCTGTGTGTGGTTTTGTTTGTTTGTTTGTTTGAAAGCCAAAATAAATATTTCATCTCTCCACTTCTGCTTCTAGGGAGCTCTCTGCTGTGCAAGCCCCATTCTTGTTTGTTTTGGTCTCTGGCAATGTGGACTCGCCACTTGAACCAATGGATATTATGTGCAAATGGGAAGAAATTGGTTTCTTTGCTGTCTTGGGGAAAAATAAGTGATGGTGCTGCTAGAGAAGGGACAAGGGTTTCTTCATTTTATTTGCAAGCCACAACTATCCGTGTAGTCAAACAAAACAAAATAAAAAGCCCTCTCCCAGCCTGAACTTCTTATAGCTGGAAGCAGTCTGCATTCATCAGTGAAAGTTGAGGAACTTCACGATACAGGGCTGAGAACTTGTAGGAAAAAATATACTGATAAGAAAACTGTCACTTATCCATTTTAACTATTAAAGTCTGTAGTAAAACCACAAAGGGAAGGGAACTAAATTGGTGCAATTGCTGCTGCATCATTAGTTAAGGCAAACAAAGTCAAAGCCCTTTTTCTATAACAGAGCCTTAAACATACAAATAAATTTTCACCAATAGATCGCGTGAAACTGTACAACTTCAAGTCTTGAGATTCAGGATCTGCCCCTAGCACCACTTATGAGAGACATCTAGAGTGCATATGACTTTTAGGGAATAAACATGTCTCCTCAGTAGGAGGAGCCATGTCATAGCTTGTGCCATGACATGACACTTGGATACCAGCAGAGTAAGCACCTTAACGCTTGTCTACATATGGAAGCAAGCGCTCGCAAGGTAGGGATGAGTGACCACTGTGCAGTAAATAAACTACCGGTGTGAACAGTATGGGATAAATAGTGACTTACAAATGCACTCAGACCTGGGGCTCTGTAGTTATTTTAATGGAGGAATGCCAGCAGGGCCCCCTAACGTAGAAGCGGAGTGTGACTACAAAGGGGATTTTCTGCTGGTATAGCAGCGCCTTTCTAGGTGATATCAATTCAGGTTGCAGCTTTTCAGTTGGTGAAACAGCATCCATGCAAGGAAGCTTGCCATCATAGTTTTGTCAGAAAAGGGTATGATCTTTTCACATCTTGACTGACAGAGCTCTGTTGGCAAAACCTTATAAACCTAGACCTATTTTAGATCTAAGAGAAACTTAATAAGAATCTGCCCAAGACCTAAAAACCTCATAGGAGCAAGACATGCTCATTATTTGAGCAGTGACCAGGTGCCACACTCCTTGGTTTTCAAAAGGGATGGTTTAGTTGCAACACATTAGGAGATCTCTGTAGTAACTTGGATGCATTTATTGAGCGATACTGAGTTTAAAATGCACAGCTAAAAAAAAAAAAGTGCATTTTTGCCTCAATGAGGAGTATCCAAAGTTATTGTCTGCCATAAGCCGTTTTTCCTTTGTAGCCGGGGTACTAAAACTTTGTGATGAAACTAGGATTGAATTGGATAGCAAGTCTTTATTTAATCTAGTTGACTAGATAAACCCTTTAGAACGTTAAAATCTCCCAGGCTAAAAATAATGTGTTATCTCTTTTGGCCATAGATAATCTCTTTCTAATATAAAGGATGTTAACATGTTAATGATTACAGTGTTTTTGCTGCATTTAAAATTGTGTGTACTACAGACAGGCACTTTAAATTAGAAATGAGTTGTTCCTTTTTTCAATTTTTACTCTGGTCATGCTCTGAGTTGCTGTAGATTCTGGGCCTCAAAGGTCAGTATCTCTTAGAAAGGCCAAGTGAAGAAACGTAGTGGTTTTAACAAGGAAAAAATAATCCATTTGGGCTCCTTTTCAGTATGTTTGAAGACTTTTTTTTGTATCTGGAAATTGTTTAAAGGTGAAACTGAAAGAGCTTAGTGTTTTAAAGGTAAACTGTTTTGGGATAATGGAGTTCATCATTCATTGCATTATCACAAACAATCTACATTCTGCTTTGACTAGATCCAGGAATCAGTTTACTAAACTCTTTGTGTTGAAACAACCTGGTACCCATGTGGGAGAGAGTCTTAGGAGCTTTGCCAAACTGCTTCCTGGATCTAGTCAGAGCAGACTGTAGTGCTCACACATGTGCTGTCTTGCATGTGCACTTGCTCTCAGAGTTTGTTGTGTGTGTCCTTTCCCACATCCCTGCAGTCTTTTTACCACCTTCTAGCCTTAGGAATGTGGATAAGACCAGTTAGTTGGATTTGTAGCCTGGCATGTGGAACATTTTCCTCTTCCACTAATTTAAAATGTGTTCACTGGAATCAACTCAAATTGTTCTTCAGAAGAAAGATCTCTTTCTGCCTCAGAATGGTGGTGAATCAATACTGTGAATGAAAGGATTTACACAGTAAGAACCAATCTGCTAGGGTGTTTGGGACTGAAGCATCTCTGGAGTTCACATGTCTTAAGACATTTGTGCTGAGTTGTAGATGTTTGCCTGGGACCAGAGTCTTGGCAGTATGCAGGTGCCATCACTTTTGGAAAAGATAAGGTGTCAACTACCAATTTGCTGCTCGTTGAAATGAGTCTGTAGCATTATAGATTTAACTGTAATACCCATAAGTCCTCATTGGACACAGTAGCATTACTATCTCTAGCTTAGTGAGAAATCCGATTGGCAGCTATTATGTCCTTTTCTTCTTAAAAGAGATAGTGCTGTTGGCTGGAGGAAAATAGCAATCCCAGTAGAGGATATATCTGTTCTCTCGCTTCTGCCCTCAGTATACAGAGCAAGATCTGCATAACTGTATGATGGGGAGGAAATGACTGTAAAATGGGAAACTATTGTGTATTTGCATCTTCTGATTATAATTAAAGCAGGAGAGTCATCCTCCTTTTAGAAAGGTAAGGTTTAATTCAGGTAAATGCCTGTTGCCTGCTCCTTGTTATTCCCTTCTTTATATTGTTGTCACACTTAATAAAAAAACATTTAGTCATTTCACCAAGAGACTGGGAGTTGGGCTGTCTTTGACTGGTTTGGTATAAACTGTAGTAAGTCACTTAAACTCTGTTTTTAATGTGCTTTATAATGTAATGTTTTAATGTGCGCTCTAATAAATGAATTTATGGTAGATAGGCATTACTCCTTCCTTTCATTAGTGGAGAAAAACTACATTCTGTACATCTTTGGGATTATTTGCTCAGGGCCACCCATCAAATCCAATTTGAATTCATGTTCTGAATTCCCTAGTCCTGGGTTTAATCACAAACCTAACTACCTCAGGGGTATGAGATTGAAATGTATTTGAACTTGAGGTTCTTGGAGGTGGGAGGGGAAGTGCATTAAAATGAACATGCAGACTTATGTCCTTCTGTTCTCTCCCATCTGCCACACTCTCTCTTTCCTAAAGAAACCTGTTCTTCTGAAATTACAAAGTTTCTAAATTAACCGTTGGAAATTACTTGGGCTGTATTTGGTTCTCGATTGCTTGAATTCTTTAGTTCAAGATTGGATGGAGGTATATTTAAAAGGCTCAACCAGTAATTATGAGCTGGATGTAGGAGTTACTGGAGAAATTTTCTGGCCCTCCTATGCAAAAAGTTAGACTAAATGCTTGCCATAAACAATTTTTCAAAGAAGAAACAATTATCAACCCTTATAACTTAAACTTAAAGACAAGTTCAGGTTTTCAAACTGTATTCGTTCACCAACACCCAATCATTTTTTGGTTAAGCAGTGCTTTATGATTTCTTTTCTTTCTCTGAGCCTATGCAGTTTGATTTACTTGCCAAGTATAGGTAAGACTTTCTGTATAATTACTTGCTTGGCACCTTTGTCCTGTTAATTTTTAGCCCAGCTTAAGGCTATAAATAGGGCAGCAAGGATGATAACTTGATTAATAAATGATAGATGAAAGGGTGATAGATGGAGGGGTGACAGCTACGTCACCACAGTTATGTAAATATTGGACTCTAATTGTATACAATTAATCTGAACCTGACATCTATAAAAACCAAATGTTTTTGAAGCCTGAAATACACAAGAAGACTTCTGCTATTTCCTATCTAATTTAGGAAGGAGAGTTGCCATTCTTGTCTTCTGCATATTTTAATCCAGCCTTCTAACATTGCTGCATTATGCTGTGCATTTTTTCTGTCTAAAATAACGGGTTTGTGGTAATCTTTTTCACCTCTTTCTCTATGCTAAACTCTGTAAGGAATGGGAAAGAGTTTAACATTGGGAGGTGTTAAACTTTTCCAGTGGTGCTCTGCTTTCAAGTCTACAAAAGTCTTAATGTAGACAGGGCTTTTAATGTTTGTGGGCTTTTGTTAAGGCAGCCGAAGTTTCCTGATAAGTCAGCCTTTAATAAAGGACATGCAACGTTGCTTAAAAGCCCTGGTGCCAGTCTGTTTTCACAGTATCTGCAGTGGCTACTGTAACTGTTATCTAGCAACAAGAAAATCAATTTGAAGTTACAGGCCCTATCAAATTTTGATAGGCAAGATTATTTCACAGTACCACAGAGAGATGGTGCAGGTGATTTATTGCTTGTCATTTATGATTTTACTGTGGAGGCAGATGGTCATTTAGGGCTGCTGACAGATGTGAACCCCCCCTCCAACCCCCCCCCAAACAACAAACAAAAAAACAAAAACAAACCAAACAAACAGTGCTTTACCAAAAGAGCAAACACGTTAGTTCAACCTGGCTCCCCAGCGTCTGTGTAGATCGGGAACTTCAGCTGGGCTTTTTGGCGCTTTTATCTAAAACTGATTTAATCTGCTTTGACAAAAGCTTCAAAAAGCCTTGCTGAGGGGCCTGATCTATACAGATGATGGGAAGTGCATTGAGCTTAAAGTAAAAGTGCCTTTTTAGCGGGGTTTTTTTTTTTTTACATCTGTAAGCAGGCTTAGAGTAATGGTTGAAACTGTTACTATAATATAGAAACTATTACAGGAAGCATTGGTTATGCAATTGGACTTTACCTCCTTGGTTACAACTATTCTAGTCTTCTTTAGTTTCTTAATAAAAACTTATCTCCAGTCTTTCTACCATGGCCATATTCTCTTTTTATTCATAAGTTGGTGTTCTCCATCTCTCTCTGAGAGCTATGATAGTTGTTTCTCAATCAGAGATTTCAAGCTGTAGATACATGTGCTAAAATTTTATTAAAATTAACATTTGACATAACTGAAATCACTTATTTAAATACTAGGAGGGTAAGTTTGGCCTTACAGCCTACTAATGTAGGTACATGAATTCTATGCCGTTGCATGGGAGGGGTCTTTTTGGACAAGACCGTTTTAAAATTGATCATCGTTCTCTGCATAGTCATTTGAGAACCTTTTAACAGTGCTCAGAAAAGTGGAAACTAATGCTCTGTAGACTTGATTCAGAATTTCTTCAACCCACCTTTCACCATCTCTTGCCTGACGTGGCACGTACCAGTTGGCTGCCACCCTTTTGTAGTTTGTAATGCTTTGTGCAATGGAATAAAAGTGGGGTGCAAATGTAATGTAATAGTGATACTCCTGTGTGATTAGATCAACAATATCTCGCAACATCAAAAATTGCTTCAAGGCTGAAACATGGTTTAACCTGAATAAGCAGTGTAACTGTTTGAGTACTTATTCACCTTCCTTTTGTTGAGCAAATGCTATAAGATGCATTTGCCAATTTGAGTTGCTGTGTTGATTGTAGCTTTGATAGAGTGAAGCAGCTTGTTGCTGTGTCAAGCTACAAACTATTTGGAATTTTAGGCTTCAGGTCAGTAAACCTTAAAACTCACCTGGAAGCTAATCAAAAGATAATATAAGAGGGAAGGTTTGTCTTCACTTCAGAAGTTCTGTATTGAAGCCTCTATGCATGACTGTTTGCAGCTGACCTTGATTGTTGCTGAAAACCCTGTAAAATTATTTAGAAAGTTCATTGATGTTAAGATTTTAGTCATTAAAATTACTTTACAAAAAAATGCTGATTCCTTCAGGAGCTGAATGAGTTTCATGTCCTGATTATATTCTGATCACTTTAAAGTGCATCATAATGATAAAGGGTTTTTTATTCTTTTGTTTATTTTTCTATAATCATTTTTATTATCAAATAGTCATTTCTGATCGTTGAAGTTCAGTAGCTGGAAAATGTGCGGGCCGGCTCCCAATCTCGGGGGCGAGCCGGGCCCGTTTTTGTGCACACAGGCTGTGGCCGGCAGCCCGGGCACGCGGGGCCAGAGAAAACCGCGGCGCGGTATGGTACGCTCGAGCTAGAATCAGTCACGGAGGCGTAATGGTTGATTGAAAAGATTATTTACTTACACCCAAGGTGGTCGCGGTGTAGGCTGGTCAGCTTTCCAGGCACAGCTCCGCTTGAGTTCTCGGTGGAGGACTCTAATAGACTCGGTTCCTTGACCCCGGAGTGGTTTAGACTCCGCGGGTTCAATAATTCGTTCTCACGGAGCAGCTGTATCTCCGTGGGTTACTCGGTTCCCAGGTCCCCCGGAGCTGTTAAGACTCCGTGGGTTCGACAATTGGGTCCATAGGATAGGGGTACGTCTAGGGCTGCGATCGGCGATGGGGAGAGGCTAGAGGTTAGTTGCCTCGGAGTTGTTAAGGCTCCGAGGGTTCGGTAAATAGGTTCCCCGGAGTTGTTGAAGCTCCGTGGGTTCGACAAATTAAACCTCTGTTGCCCTCTTAAGGAAAAAGCTGGGTTCGTAGGGATCAGCAGCGCTTAGAGATCCTCACGCTCCTTTCCCGAACTCCACGTGCTTTCTCTCTCTCCGACTTGGGCGGAAACTACCCAAGCCTTTTGTATGGCTAGCAAGCCAATAGCTAGCCGCCATGTGTGCCTATATTAAGAGTGGCCAATAATGTGGTGGAAATCTCAATACAAATGGCGGGAACTCCTTTGCATCATGCATCACTATAATGCAAAAGAAATGCACTATGCAAAGAAGGCTACAGAACTGGCGGGAAAAGCTCCTGCACACGGGTTCTTAATTGTAACAGAACACTCCACCGTGCAAAAGAGCTGCAATTTGGCGGGAACATGATTTAGCAATGCCGAAGCGCACACAAACAAAAAACCACAACTTTGGGTTGTGACAGAAAATAAGTTGCTTTACTATGAGAGGAAGTCAGGATAACCACTGTGGTGTCTTTATAGTTAGCATGTTGATGCAACAGTTTTTCTCTGCACAGGTCTTGTGTTAATAATTTCACCAAAGGGGGTAATAGGTGAAATAAGTCGTATCCGATTTAAGTATGGGTTGTTTTTGAGCAAGAACAAACTTCCCTGGAGATGGCAAATCCTCTGACAATGTGTTACAAATTTCTGCTGCAATTCCCTGAAAGTCCAAGTGAGTAAGTCATGTAATGTGGCTCTTACTAGACTGTGCTTCATCTAGTCCATTTAATAGAACAGGAGAAAAAATGAATGGAATATTTAAAGCTCTGGACAAACCTCCCTGGCATCCAGATAAGCATTGGACGTTTGGTTCCCCGGGAACAACTAGCAGCGGCACACTAGCAGCAGATGGGTCTGCGGTGCCACATACCACATGGCCATGCTTATTTGGACTTGGCCTCTGTCTTAATTGAATGAGGAGGAGACACTGGGTCATGCTTTTTCTTTTTCCCTTCCTTATTCCTGGCAAAACTGGATTGAACTATTATTTGTTCAGCATCAGCAAGTTTTTTCAGTGCTATAGAAATTGCAGAAATTCTCCTTATCGCTAAATGCTTTTATATTAAAATGGAGCAAAGAACTGCATTTCTGAGGCCCACACCCCCTTGACATCGAGCACCAACAACCATCTTGGATGCTGTGTACACATAAGAGAAGGAGGAACCATGCTTTCTTCCTGTCCAATTTTCAGCCTGTATTGCTTCTGAAAATGGAACTGCTTAATTCCTTTTACACATCATGCCCTAATAGAATGACTGAGGAGAAAAGCAGCTTGCAAGAAAGTATTATTTTAAAAAGGCTTGGGAGTCAGCAATCCTATTTTTATTCTGACTCTGTCTTGCTGTGTGATGCTGTGGAAGTTTCTTAATCTTACCTCAGATCAGTTCCTTCATCTCACCATCCTACTTCCCATGAGGGAAGGGGTAGAGGAAGAGAATATAACTTGTCAGACCTTACCAGTTGTATTTCAGTGCTTTCTGGGGTGGATGCTGCAGGTGACCACAAATACTTCTGTAAAAACAAGCCCCAAGTGTTTATTTTAACAAAATAATTCAGATTATAATATTAGAATTGTGCAAAACTAACACATTCAGGAAATTCAGTTCTGCTGGACTTTTCAAATGATTTGACAACCAAGCTGAGACACAGTCTTACTAGAGAAAATTTTCCTGGTCCATTAAGAACAATTCTACAAAAGTGATTGCTGGATGCCCTTCCCATTTTTACTTAGTTTTGGTTTCCTTAGTTGTGCCATTGAATTACTACTTCACCAAACCCTTTAAAGAAGACTTATTTCCTATGAGAGAGCTTATCAAGGACTCGGTAGCATAAAGAAAGAATAAAGCCTTAAGGAAGGAACAGTTCAAATTCTACTGAAAAGTTATGATAGCTAAAACATTGAGGGCCCTGGGCTTGAACAAGTGTTTAGAGCAGTGGTTCTCAATCTTTTCGGACTCCAGGCACCTCTCCATAACTCTTGTGAATTTAGTGGCACCTGATTTTGATATATTACAGTGCTTACCTGTTTGCAGAGTGGCCAGCAGTAAGGATGCGGGACAGGCCAGGCAGGGACAAGTCTGAGACTGCTTTTATCTGCTTATCTCCTCGCACCTTGCAGCACCCTTCAAAGGATCTGGTGGAATCCTGGTTTAGAACCATGGTTTAGTGATTGGGTTTTTTGGTTTTGGTTTTCAGTTTCTACTGACTCTTATGAGCAGTTGACAGGCTAATTGGTCTGGAGGAGTGTTCAGTTTAGGTGTGGGTTTTTTTTTCCTGTAGAATTTTAACTGCATTTATCTTTGGCCGAGACTATCTTAACTGATGTTGTCCTTGAACTTCACCCCATGCTGCAGGGATCTCTTTATAAGAGGAATTTGTTTGTTCTAACACTGTTTATTGCTTGTTCTCTGCCTGCACTGTTGGCCAAGAGGCTAATTAGTGCCATTTATTATGATGGCCTTGAATAGTAGATGCCTATCCACTGAACTAAACTAGGGCTGAAGGTTCATTTTGGTTAGGCTGTTAAACTGTTACCAGTCAGTAACTATTCCTACCCATAGAGACAGTGCCCCAAAAAGGTCAAGTTAGCTTATTGACTTCAACACAATTGAAAATCTCTTCTTCCATCTCGCACAGGCATAGCTAACACTACTCTGACCCCTGGGGCTGGTTGTAGCCTATGTATATCTTTAGCCTGTTTAGGAAGTGCTGTGTCTATTGTACCTGAAACAATGACCTACAAGTGAAAGACTCCCAATGTAATTATTAATCCCATGAGATATTCAGGCCTTGGAGGCAGCAATTTGAACGGCTTGTTTTTGAAAGTCTGACTCTTCTTCTAACCATGAATGCTTGAAGAACAGGACAGATTGGTTGGTTTTCATCTTTCCAAGAGCATTCATATATTGTTGATTTAGAATCTAATCCATAAAAGCTAAAATGTGGATTAAATAAATACCGCATTTGGTCAGAGTAACCTTGCATGGTTCTCTGTTAGTTGATAATTTGTCTCCCTTGCAGCTTGCAAAAGGCTTTAAACCTTGTTTGTGATTTTTTTTTTTTTTTTTTTTTAACATGATTGATTAGAGAAAATATTGTGATCTTTCGGGAGACACTGAACTAGGCATTGAAAATGCAACTGCTTATTCCCAAATAGTTATCTCACTTCAGAGCAGAGCCTTGCACTCTGATTCCAATACAGTGCCCTTGGGTAACCTACCTAACCTGCGTTCTCAGTGACCCAGAAGGCGCGTAATGAACAGCGGACTTTCTGGTGCTGACGTGTTAGTTTTTCTCCTGCAACAGGCTCTCTCCTTTGATAGAAGACCAGTGCCTGCTGTTTGCGTTCCTAGCAGTACTCTCTTTCTGTCCAGTGGCTCTTTATTCTGAATTGTTGCTTCCTCTCTGCAAGGGTCTCACTTCTACTGAACAAAGCCACCTTGTTTTACTCTCCCTTGGTAAATGTTTTTTCTTTCCTTTAACTATTTACTTGATTTCCTTTTTAAGTACTCTTGAGCATTTACCAGTGCAGGATTGAACTCCCTGGTTATGTGTTTTTTTTTCCTCCACGTCATTCTAAAGACTGAATTACAAACATTTTAAATTTAACTAGAATTGTGATACAATCTGGCAGAAGGGGAAAGGAAGCTCTGACACATGGCAATACAGGACATGAATTTCTTGCGGTTCAGAAGAAATGAATTAAAAGGATGGGGCATGCAATAAATAGCATTTGCATAGTGATTTGTTCTCCCAATACCGTACAACAGTTTGGCAGAAACGTAAATGGGCTGGCAGGTCCCTGATTCTGAGAAGTAAAATAAAAGGATTTGGAGCAGGAGGAAGACTTGCAGTAGGAAAAAAATCCTATCACTCAGGCTGTTGGGCAACAAGGAAAAAGTCTCTCTCGAAAAAGCAGTGCCCATTTAGGGAAGCATTCTTTTAGCTGATTAGAGCAGGAGAGGGAAGATTTCTCTCAAGGCAGAGCTGGCACTGTAAGGTTAAGAGACTTCCTCCAACCTATGTATTCTGATACTATAGAGGTGAGACCTTTGCTTAGTGCCAAATAACACTCAGGTTGTTGCACTCTTCTCTATGATCGTACCAGGGATGATTGGAATGACATAATATAAATATTGACTATGGCAAGGGACAACTGTTAATGTGCAAGACGGAAGGTACACATAAGCAAATATTAAGAAAACTTTGCTGAAACAAAAACCCATAAGGCTTTTTCCCAAAGGAAGTAGAAAACTTGTCAGTATCAATGCTTAGATGTAAACTGACTACTACACTATTGTAGACACCTTTGAGCTATAACTTTAGTTCACTGAAACGCATTGTGTGAGGGTGAGTTTGAAGGCTATATGAAAATGAAATTAATTCTATCTTCTTGCAGTGATTACTTAGTAACCATGTCGCAGGAGAGCTTCTATTCAGAAATCCTATTAATTTACCCCCTGGTCCTCACTTAAAGTACTCTTGATATTTCGTAGTTTACTTGAAAACCTCACAGAATGATATTGGATGCCAGCAGGAAATGTAACCACTCAAAATTTAGTACGGTCCTGGGTTAACAGGATTAAGAGTATAAATACTTTTTGTTCTCGGATACATTTCAAAATGTCCCTTGGACGTCATCTTCTCAAATAATGCATGACGTTTCCCATCCCTCGCAGGGTAACCTCGGCATGTGTCCCCTAGAGAACATCTTGGCAAGAGGAAATTGAAGTAAAGCACAACCAAATGGCTCTAAAAAGGCTTGATGATTTAAATTTTGCTTTTGGAAGAAGTTGCTGCTAATTTTGATATTTTTTTTCTATTGCAGTGAACACCTACCTCTTCATGATGCAAGCCCAAGGCATCATGATTCGTGAAAACATGAGAACAATAGGAGCTCAGGTTTATGAGCAGGTGGTCCGTAGTGCCTATGCCAAGAGGAACAGCAGCGTAAATGACTCAGGTACATTTTTAGTAATTAAGTAACTTTGATTAGTGTTTCCATTAGCGTTGGAAAATGAGTCGGGTCAAACCATTTTTCTAGAAGGGTTTGAATATATGTGGGTCAATACAGAACAGGGGAGGATATTATTTTCCTTTTTCTGTGCAGTCTTTTCCTCAGATTCCTCTAGTAATTTGGGGGTATTTACAAAATCCAAAATGACTGTTATCCTTCTGCTTTCTAGGGATGTACAAGTAACATACTCACCCTGAGAAATTCTTTTGTTTTCTTGTAGGACTAACACAACAACCCATTTTCAAAATCTCTGCTTTCAGCCCTTGACCACATGCATGTCTGGCTTGATTTTAAACCTGACTAGGCTTGAATAAGTGCTTGAATAAGACACTGTTCCAGGTACACAGAAGAACATGTACTTACAAGCTTCACTGCTTTACATGGAAGAAGAACATAAATAGGTTGTTGAAGTTCAGCCAGAAGTAGTAGAAGAACTTGGAATAGAATTGGGGATTCTAACTATAACGAGCCCCTATCTTTTTAATTACTAAACTACTTTCCCTCTTATAATGGGAGTGCTGGTTTGGCAACTTTGGGCATCTGAATACTACACTAATAGATAGTTTGAATACAAAAGGTTACATCAACTTATACTGTGGCCAGTGAGCCAAATTGGACTTTTTCCTACCTCCCATGTTTGTGTCATTGCAAGACAAACCTTTAATAGATGATCCAGGTTCTTAGCAATATGGAATTGGAGGTACTGACGTCTTTTCATATGTCAGCTCTTGTAATTCCATTATGACATGACCCTCTCTCTATACATTCCCGTTCTTTCTCCTCCACCTCTTTTGCAGGTATTAGCTATGTCTACTCTAGGAAGTTTGTGGTAAAGTTATATCAAACCTTTGCTAGGGAAGACGGGGCACAGTAAACAGTTACTTGTAATGAAGAGATCAAGGCATTTTTTCCTATAACTAAAACAAGGCAGGGTAAGGTGACACTATACTGTATAAACTGATTTCCCACTGAAACTGCCCTTCTCACTGTTGACACCTGAGTGAGTCATTAGTTCCTAAGACTAGCTATGCTCTAACATTATGCTAGAGTAAGTATTAGTGCATTTCAGCCAAGCTTGATAGCTCTGAGGAGGAAGCCTTGAAGTACTTTTTGGGTTTCAGTAGTGAGGACAAATGAGGGAAGAGTTTTTTTGAGACAGGTTTCCTTATGAGCAAAAACCAAGGTCTTACCTCAACTTAATCTCTTGAAATCTCTGGAATTTTGTAAGGTCTAAGATGTCACACCATTTCTAAGGCTTTGGCACCCTATAGTTAGATTGACTGCTATAAATAGAGGAGTGAAAGTCCTCAGATGCCCCCAAGTGAGTTCCCTTGTCACATAGGTTGTCTCATCTGCCTAATTTAAAAGTTAACCTTGATTCGTCAACTCAATCCATTCACTCCATTTTTAAATTTCAGAAAAAGTTGCTTTAATCTATTTTCAAACTTGTGGGAGTTTAAACTGTGGTTAGACGGGAAAGAAATAAGATGAACTGCCCCCTTTTCCTTGCTCACTGCATGTCATGGTAAAGGCCTACACATTTTCTTATAGACATGTGGGTTATGCCTTTCATTAGCTGCTTCTTTGCATCTTTCCAGGATGAGAGGATGAGTGCTGAATTTTTTTGAAACGGGTGTAAATCTTCACAATAATTCCTCTCCTTTGTAGCTATTTTATTATTCTTAGGAGGCAAGAATACTGACACTGGTGTCATTGGCATTTGAGTTAATATCCACTAAAGTGAATGAGGCTGTTCAAAGCTCAGACTTGTTGCCTGGGGAGATCTGTCTGCCTTCCCAAACAGAGATGGGGCCATCACTTTTTATTCTAAGGCACACTTCTTTGATTTTGACCCTGCTAATATAGCTGTACAGCACACTGTATGTAAATAACATTGATTTAAAAAAAGATATCTTGACACACACTTCCCCTGGGAAGAGGAAGGAAGAAGAAAAAAGTATACATGACAGATGCTGGTCATATCAATACACTTCTGGAAGGCATTTGATAGCATTGTGATAAGGGCCCAAATATACAAACTTGAATTAGGGTTGTCATAGCCCTATATAATTCTGATAGACTTCAGATGTACGTTTCAAATTGCACCACCATATTAACTGTCAGTCTCCCTAACTTTATGCTTGGGATGGCATAATTTTAAATAGATGCTGTGCCAGGGTTGTTGCATAATAACGGATGCAGTGCAGCTTAGTGCTGAAGCAGGAAACCTGGAAGGGCAGGCATACTGTGATCTTCACAGAGCTGTATGTGCCTGTGCTAAATTTCTTGCCTCCAACATGCTTCCTTTGCTTCAACAACTCTTGCTTATTTACAAAGCACTCCCTCCTCACTGTCCAGAGCAAGCTGTCATTCTTCAGTAACGGGTACTAAATTTTAAGTCCCTTTTTAAATGAACTACAGCTTCTACTTATATGTTGGCAAGCACAAAATGCAATACTTATCAATGTCAGGCCACAAGTGCAGAGAACATCATACAGCAGCACAATATATCTGTAGAGAGCCAAGCGGGGTGTTACAAGACAGAGCACGTAATACATGCACCATTTTAATGGTAATTTGTTTATTTAAATTTGATCAGAATAATACCACACACCCAAGATAGGCACTAAAATGCTAGTCTTTTGGTGTTCATTTGCAAGTCCATTGTGGGCTCTTGCTCTCTCGTTAGAATAAGATGGGGTAATAATTACACCATCTAACGGATGAACTGAACTAACGACACTGGATGCCACATATTAACCTAAGGAAGGAAACTGAAATACTGGAAGGGGAATGGTGGGTTAGCGCAAAGTGGCTTGGTTTGGTTTCTAACCATTTTAAGTCCACACACAGAGAACCTGCTTCAAATGATTGATTTTTCTTTTTTTCCCCCCCTCTTTAAATAACTTGTCACATTTGCTTCTTTTCCTAAAGAGTCATTCTCATTTGTTAAAACTGAAACATGTTTGGTTGCAACCAAATATAACCATTAGTATTTTACCTAACAAGGAGAATATATCACACTACCTATGCTTATTTGAACAATTATAATCTTAAAATACATTGATTCAGATTTACCTGTTACAATTTTATTGGAAAATAAATGATTTTTTTTATTTATTGGATTTTTGTTAGCCTGGGATGGGAACTAGAATTTGTTTTTGTTAGACAAAATACTTTGAATGTGCTGGGTACATAGGGAAAGTAAATGCAAAACTTGGCTTGATATACTGAAAACTGATTTACTAAACACACCTAGTGAATAGACAAATTGAAAATCTGGTCTACAGCGAACTCTTATAGATGGAGATAGGTGACCTACTGGGATTTCAGATGTTTTTAAGCAGGCTGGATACCTCAAGTCCATTTGTTTTTTGTAGGAGTTTTTACCCTTTAGAAATTCCACTAAGCTGCCTTTCTCCTTCTGTAACTGTATACATCTTTTTGAAGATCTGTCCCCCCCAACTTTCAGGTTCATGGCCTGTCTTGTTTTCTTGCAGTCTCTCAAGAAAAACCAGGTGGAAGAGGGGGAGAAAAATCTTTCTTGCCTTTTCAACTCCCAGTTTGAACTAGTGTAAATGAAGAAGATATTTTTCTCTGCAACTGAAACCCAAAATAATTAAAGGGAAAGTTTTCCTGCATAAGAAAAACTGAAGTGTTTAGTTTGAAAGAATGTAAACAGTAGCTTTATTGTAAAGACTGAAAATAATAGAAATATTTGAAGAAGTACATATCACTGAGGGCCCTGGCATACTTTAAAGTGCACATGCAATTAAAATTTTATTGCTCCTTAAATAGTAACCAGCCACATATTGAAGCCAATTTATAGTGTGATGATAATACAGCAAACACGCCACAAAGATATTACACATATAATGTGTAAAGTCTTTGTGGCTTGTCTGTATCATTCCTTAAATTGAACATATGGCATGTCAGGACTAAAGTGTAACAGATCCTGATGTTCAGCTGAGCATTGAGATCTGGCATGGAGTAACCAAGGTGCAGCTGTGTGATTGGGCTGGGGACAGCATGGGCTCCTCGTCTCAGCAGTCCCACCCAATCCCCAGAGGCAGATTTGGGGAGGGGGAGGTGCTGTGGGCTTGACATCAGGGAGTGTATCCTCAATCTCAGGCTCTATGCACCCTGGACCTTTAAAAAGCGGCTGTGTGGCTGGGAGCCTCAACTGCATGCCTACTTTTTAAGTTCCAGGAGCACCTGTGGAAGAGGCAACTAGGGAGCCAGGAGTTCCCAGCTCCCCATGCCTCGCATTGTGGGTCCTGGTACACGAGGAGCTTTAAAGAGTGTACCTGCAGCTGAGTTGCAGGCATGCCTTTTAAAACTTTCTTGGTGCTCAGACCTAAACCATGGGGAGAGGCAACCTGGTCTGTGGCACCGGACAGCTTTAAGGAATGCACCAAGGCAGCTTCACCACTAGGGACTTTCAGATTCAATGCCCAGTAGCTGTAGCTAGACTGTTGTGGCATGGGGGATCAGAGGTTCCTGGTGAGGTCTGAAATCCCCACCAGAGGAAGCCCTTCAGACTGGACCTGGGGCTGGCTGTCCCAGCTAGGGCTAACAGTCAACTAATTTGTCAGCTCACTGCACTGGTGACTCAAACTGGCGCGAGGCTAGGAGCAACAACCAGTTGACTGTCAGCTGGCTGTCCTGAGTCTGTTAGAGTCCCTGGTGCAGTCCCAGGGGCCAGAGCTGACAGTCAGCCAATTGTCAGCTGTGGCTGGACCTGTGGGCACTCATTTTAACTTGCCAGTGTCAGGTGTGAGGGTTGCAAAGTCCCTGCCTAACCCCACTTCAGTTCAGTCTCACAGGCTTTAAATGCTGCATGTGCTGCCCAGCTGGACTGGGAAGTTGTCCCTGGCCCCACTTCTCTGTACCTCTGGCTTTAAGTCTCCCAATGTGCAGCCCATATAGGCTTCACTGAAGTTGATTTAAAACCTGGAGGCTACCTACTGCCAACCTGCTCCCTTGCCAGGGAGGGGGGAAGGCAGGCTGTCAAGTAATGGGCTTCTCTAAGGGTAGGGATGGGCCAAGGAACAGCCCTGTAGTGCCCTCTGGCTTCAGAGCTCTCCAATCCAGGGGCCAGAATGCACATGTGCTTCAGCTCCTGGGATGTTTTTCTACTGTTAAGAATTCTCTGAAATTCTTGCCAGTAGAAAGGAATGTGAATGTGGCCCAGATCTGGTAATTTGTTAGCTCATAGAGCGAGCTGATGTCTAAATAGACTTGGATTGCTTTTGTTTCTGCTTGTAGCAATTTAATCTCTTTTGGTCCCCTCTGATGCAAGAAAATTATTTTTGGAAGCAAATGCATAAACCTATCTGTCAAAATCAGATATTTATGAAGGCACGTAACCTTTTTAGAAGTAAATGGAACCCACCACTGCTATGACCTGCTGGAACTGGTAAAAGGCTGTAGCCAAACTAAGGCACTTGTAGAGCAGTTAGTTCCTTGAAATGTTACTTCAGGATAAGTAACTGCTTCTTCAGGAAAAAAAGAGTCCCAAATCTTCAAGGTGGGCCTGAAAACTGAGTTTCCTGTATGTGCCCTTGTCAGGAAAGGAGTGCTCCAGGGACAGTTTTTCCCTTTCAGCCTCCCTTCTGCAGTCATTGGAAGTCTACAGGGTATTAGCAGAAGCTTACCTTTCCTGGCTAACTTGCTTCAGCCCAGTTTATTAAAGACTTCAGTAGAAAATCATTTAATAAATTGGAAGCCACAAGGGGCCCTTGTGATGGTTTAGTCTGAGTCCCTGCATATCATGGCCTAGGTGCCTGCTCCACAGGTTTTAGTCACAGCTATTCTGCTATGAAGAAATGTTTTGGATTGTCCCTGCAATTCTACCCCCTACAGTGCTCATCTGTTGAGCTGGCAAGGTCAAGGAGATCGTGATACCTCAAGGAACAATTTTTTTGTGAGACTGCCTACAGTTCATAATGCAGTTTCCCATCGATGCCTTGTCCATGTGCAGTAACCAGCTGAATGGGTTTGTTAGCAATTGAATATTGGAGATAGCTGTAAGATTAAAAGCTCAAGCAGCTTTTTGTTTTCCCCAGATTATCCTCTTGATTTGAATCACAATGAAACCTTTCTGCAAACCACAACTTTTCTTCCTGAAGATTTTACCTACTTTCCAAACCATACCTGTCCCGAGAGACTCCCTTCTATGAGTGAGTAGTGCTGTGACTTGTCTTCCCTTCCTTCCCTCCAACCCATGCTTCCCTTCCTTCTGGTTGCAGCCCATCAAAAACCTGTTTCCTCTGAGCAGGAGGTAGGAGGGGAATAGGAGGAAGATACCTTCTTGTTACAGGTTTTGTGGTATAAACTGTAGTCTTTGGGAGTTTGGCAGCCATGTTGATTAGATTATACCTGGCTCCCAGACACCACACACTTTACTTACATGCTCCAGAGCCCAGTTGATCTGTTCCTGCAGATTCTTGGATTGTGCATTCTAGTACCACTCTTTACCTACAGATATAATTATATATTGTACCTCTTATATTTAACTGTGTCAGGCAGGGTGGGAATGAGGAATGAATAGGAATGCTGTTCTGCAAGTGCAAATGTCTCTCCTTGGAAATTTGTTGTTTACCAGATCCCAGAAATCAAGCTGTATGTCTGAGACACTTTTCCCTTTAAACCAATAGCCCATCACTTGACAAATTGAAACAAGAGAGTGATTGTGCAACATGAATCAGTGAAAAGATTCAATACCTCACTGCTCCATTGGGACATTAACAGCAGCTGTAAGATGACAGAAGTGTTTGCTCCCTTACTTCTTTCTGCTGTGGTTACTGCTGTGCTTTTCAGCTTGGATTAGTCCCAGAAACAGTGGAATACAATGAATTGGGCCACTGAGCTATCCTCTAATTAAACTAACTTTGAATTTCACTGAGCAACTGTCTTCCTTGGCCTGTGGCTAAAAATTAGTGGCTAAGCTGAAGAAGCATGGGGTGGAAAGCTGCACAGAGTAAAGCAGTGATAAATAGGGCTCATCAAAAATTCTCCGCTAAAATTTGTTTTGAACAGAAGATTGGTTTTTGTTTTTTGGGTTTGTTTTTTTTGGTTTTTTTGAAGAAACCAAAGCTGGCTTTTTTGAGAGAAGCATCTGTTTCTGCTAAAGACTTTTCTTTTTTGTGCTGATTTGGAATCCTACTGCAGTTCCTCATGTTCCCATTTGGTATAGGACATGCCCCCCCTATTCAGACATCTCTCATGATAAACTGTGACCAGAGACCTTCTGTGATGTAATACCTCCCCTAAGGATAAAGACCTTGGAGATGATGTCTGAGTAGGAGACAGAGGCTGCAGAGATGAATGAAAGCATGAGACACTTGCAGGATTTCCTCATCAAACTTTTTAAATGTTTGGCAGGGAAATACTTGCTTTGCAAGCAGCTCTACTAACAAGCAAAAGAAAAGGAAGTAGACAGAACACATGGATGGGGTAGAAGCCAAGAGATCAAATTAGTCAAGAAGCCAGAGGTGCATGTTCCTGTCCAAATGAGAGCATTTGCCTTTCTTACACTTCTCTTTTGTCCATTGTGTGCACAGAGGGTCCAGTTGATGTAAATATGAGTGAAATTACAATGGAAGATATCCATCAAGTATTCTCTAAAGACCCTTCTATCAAGCGAGGAGGCCATTGGAAACCTAATGACTGCCTGCCTCGTTGGAAGGTAAACTATACTTGGAGCAGCCATGTGCCACTGTGAATGTGCCACCATTTCTCAGTACAAGAGAGTGCAAAACGAAAGTTTTTTGATATCATGTCAGTCCAGTGGATATCTTTCTAGCAGTTTCAACAAACTTACCAAGAACTGTTCTTTGTTTTACATTTGACCTTTCCCTTGGGTTATATTAATAAGGAGTACAAGGATGCCTGTAACACAGGCCTGAAATATGCTGATGAAAAATACCTCTCAACAGACTCCTGAAGCCAAGGGCTTCCTTACTGACTGATGGTTCAGTGTTTAGTTTTTTGTAAGAACTTCTGAGGCTACCAGTGGCATGTGGAATTTGTCTACTCTAGTAGTTCAAATGTGTATCACAGCTGATAGTTGCTGAAAGGTGTTGCCTGTTGATGACAATTAATGGTTCATGTGCAGTCAAATACTTGGTCTCATTCCTAGCTGACAGGTGTCCAGATCACTAAGACCACCTCTGCTTTGGGTCATTAATTGCTGCAGGGAGACTGTATGACCTGGGACTTGTACGTTACTGCTAGATGGGCTCCCTGATGTACAGGTTGGCAGCGTGCTAGAGACGACTTTTGTCATGGCTCATGCTCTACTTCCCTAGTGGGAGACGATTTCAGTCTCCAGTGCTGTCAGTGTCAGTTATCACCAGCAGTTGGAAAGGCGTGTAATCCCCCAGGTAGTAAGTGTTGTTTTTTTTTTAAACCAGAGCCCTGAAATCCACAAAGCAAAGGAGATGTGTGCCTGGGAGGTGTGGGGGGGGCGGGAAATGCCCCAGCATGCTGCACAGTGCATTAAAGGAACTGTCTCGGCATCCTGAGAAAAGAGTTAGATGATGGCCCTTTTGTAACACCACTATCTTTGTTGGGTGGATGTAGGTAACAGTACTCATGGCATCAGACACAGACAATGCCTTGAGGTGGTGGTATGTAGGCCACTAAAGTGACAGCTGCTTTCCAGTGATAGCATTAATTAACTGCTTGCCTTTTCTTTAGGTGGCAATCCTGATCCCATTCCGCAATCGTTATGAGCATCTTCCAGTTCTCTTTAGGCACCTTATTCCAATGCTTCAGAGCCAACGTTTACAGTTTGCGTTCTATATCATCGAGCAAGTAAGTGATACCCACATTTTTCCAGGCTAGTATTTTTCCAATGGAAATAACCATTAGAACAAGAAGCGTGTTTTTGCATCTTTTTCCCTGGGCTCTAGTATGCAGCATCAAGTTAACTCCTTTTTCACTGTAGGCATTGTGTAATAATGGTAAATGCCCAAGTTGTGTCCCAAGTGTGCCACATTTATCACTTGCAGAACTTATGCCACAGGCTTTCAAAGGTTTCTGGCTAATATTGATTGGTATGTGTAACCAGACCTTTCTTAACACAATGCCATGGGAATGGCATATTGGTCTGGAACACCTGAATAGGTTTGGCTCCATGCAGTACAAGAAAGATTTGATTAATGAAGATCGAAATTGAATTAATTGTGATGGGGAAATGTTTTCCAAATCTCAAACTACCTACGTTTTGTTAACCCTTAGCACATGTTTCAAAACCCACCTGTCCTTCCTCTTTTGGGGCAAAAGCAGGTAGAGAGAGAGGACGATCAGAACTTTTTTTGTAACTCAGCTGTAGAAAGCTGTTTGTAGCATGGCTTTAGTAGACCTGTACTTTTCTTTGTTACAGTAGCCACCAACCTTGGGATAGGAGGCTAGAGAAATTAAATAACTATCTTTTTAGCCTTTCCACGCACACTTGTATAAAGACCTGTTCTCTACATGTAACACTGAGAATTTGTACAGTAAAACCTGGATCATTTGCATCCTCCTTGCCTTACATTGCCAAATTTAATTTCAGTCTTCTCAGCTGTTTGCTGCAGCTCTGACTTTAGTGAACACTGTTTCTCTAATCAGCTGGAGTTTAGAGTGATCCTATACAGCTGATCAGAGAGGCAGCACCCTTTGGAGGGGACAGGGATTTAATATCTATTTGCTGTGGCTCTGCACAGCACCAGAATATTGAAAACCCTCTCTTTTGAGGATGTTTTACGTATTTGATTTGTATGCCACATTTGTCCTAAAAGGCTTAGAGAGGCTTATGATGAGCCCATGAAGGGCTTGGGTTTACTGCACCATACTTTGTATATGTGGTGAAAAGTACATTATGTTTTGGTATTCCTCTGAGAAATAACTCCGTTTCCTAGGCTGGTAACCAACCTTTTAACCGTGCCATGCTCTTCAATGTTGGCTTCCGGGAAGCAATGAAGGACTTGGATTGGGATTGTCTCATCTTCCACGATGTGGACCACATACCAGAAAATGACCGCAACTATTATGGATGTGGACAGATGCCAAGACACTTTGCAGCCAAGCTGGATAAATATATGTATCTGTAAGCACCAGTGTTCCCCTTTGGTACAGTTCCCCCTTGGCAGTGCTGCCTTTTAAAAGGGAAGAGGGTCAAATTTAAGTAGGCTTAGAGTTTTTGCACAAAGCACACAATCCACTCCCACTAAGGCAGAGGGAAACAAGCATACCCATGGCTTGGTTTAGGTCATCTCTGTCCAGATATCTTGATAGGATGGGAATAGGCAATGGCCTTAGTCCTGAACTGTGACAAATTATGTTCCCAATAAGTCTGACTAACTGTGTCTCTCTTTAGGCTCCCTTACAATGAGTTCTTTGGAGGAGTGAGTGGCTTAACAGTGGAACAGTTCCAGAAAATTAATGGCTTCCCCAATGCATTCTGGGGCTGGGGTGGAGAAGATGATGACCAATGGCTTCCCCAATGCATTCTGGGGCTGGGGGGGAGAAGATGATGAAATTTGGAACAGGTACTGTTGTGCATCTTGGCTCGAGTCTACTTCCTGAGGAATAGGGGGGTGCGCAGGGTGTTGTATAGATATAATATTGTATAATACTCTAGGTATTTGTGGGGCAAATTCCGTGCTACATCCTGTTGTTGTCTGGCCTAACACTGGAATATACTGCCACATGGGTTGGGGACATAGCTGTTGGGTGTACAGTACATGCTTCCAGCTTCTTGACAATCAGACTTCTTGGGGCTGTGCCTACCTCTGCTCTAAAGTAAGCCAAAGACAAGCAGTGGGTTTTGCCTACTGCCCCTGAGCCTGCTTGCTTAAACTTTCAGCCTTAAGCAATTTCAGAAGTCTCCAGCCTCTGTCCTCTGCTAGAGAGGAGGGACATACAATTTTGTGAAGGGAAGTATCCCCTCCTCTCTTCTCCAGGCAATGCTGATTGTGCACTTGAGATTTCATATCTCTTTCAACTGGGATTGTACCACTTTAAGATGCCTGAATAAATGGGAAAGTTACTTTAGTGAATTCAGCCTGCTAACGCAAAACTGATCTGAGGCTAATAGAGTGGGGTAGCATTGGTTATTGTCATAGGGAACCTGTGAAATTGTTGGCTTTCAGCTTTGCCATAAAAGTTAAGTTGTTGCTCAGCTGAACTTCTCAGCTAAAGCTTGGTATATTGAAAATAGCACAAGTTGCCTGAAGCTTAAACTGGTTCCAGTATTCCCATTTCATTTTGTTAGTGAATAGATGTGCACACTCACTACAGACAATAAGTTTATTGTGGCTCATGATTTGTTCTGTGTTGGTAATGACGTTGGAGCAAATGCAACAGTCAGCTTTATCTTTGTAATGCAGAGTGCAGTATGCAGGCTACACAGTGACTCGACCAGAAGGAGAGACAGGGAAATACAAGTCAATTCCACACCATCATCGAGGTGAAGTGCAGTTCTTAGGAAGGCAAGTGAAATTTTATTATGGGGCATTGCTTATATTTGATCCTGTGGGATTCCAAAGCACTTCACAAATTGTCATTTGTACAGGGGGTGATACTTGTTTTAGGACTGAACAAGGCACAAAGATACTACAAAACAGTCTCAGCCCAGGAAGGGAAATTGCAAGCTTCAGTGTCATTCGTACAGGGGATGAGGGCAAGGTATCACTTTCCAAACTAGAATTCAGCTGGGGCATTTAATACCCTGGACTCAACGGATACAAAATCCTTACTTTTGTGACTGCTTTTCCAAACTCAAGCAAAAAATGTGCATTTCCAGCCAACCCACCTATTGTCTGAGTTTATAACTAACAAGCTATATTCTGAGAGGAGAGATGGTTTTACATTCTGGGGAAAGAATGCTAATTACTAATGAGGTGGTAATTAGTATCATATACTGAAGCAACCCTTGTTCTTCCTTGAAAGTTTCTCATCCAGACATTGAGCAAGGCCAGCCCTGCTTAGGTTGCAGCCAAGATTATAAAAGGATTAATTGATTTTAGTGTTATGCTTATTGCAGCAACCTCCATTTCGATTTTACCCCTAGACTGCCTGGATTTTCAGAGTCTTCTGAATTTGCATTGTGAGCATAACTTCCACAGCAAAGCAACATCTTCTGTCGCATACATTTTGTTTAAAGTCATTGTCCATATGCATTTCATTGTTGGCACATATGTCCTATATGCGTGTTTGAGTAGCTGTGTCCAGGAGAGTTGTGCCTGTACTCTGCAGCCCTCTGCAGATCCTTCTTCACCTGGAACTCTGAGTTGGAAACCTGTAGTTCCCGCCTCTTTGCAGCAGGCTTACAAAGGCCCTGCAAGGTACAGATCTCCTGGATTCACCACCTGCCCTTCTTTTGGGGGAGTTGTTCCTGTCAATGATAGATGCTCCAAGTACCCCTCTTATGTAGGAAAAATGCATACACCACAGAAGTTCTCTTGTGTGTTGGACCCCAAAATCCAGGTAGTCTCATCTGACTCCCCTAGAGAGTACCATGAAGGCTTTGTCAGCTTGCATCGAGTCCCCTCTTACCTGAGTTCTCCCTCTTCCAAAACTCAGTTCTAACTCTTAATCCCCCAGCCTCTAGTCCAGTATCAGCTGTTTCTGCTTCTTTGTGGGGTTCAGTTTTCTAAAAAAATTGATAACCTTTGTCATCTTCCCATCACTTGCTATGGGTGTCACTGAGATGGTGAGCTCTCCCAGGTGGGGAGTGTCATGCTACCCCAAGATAGATTCATGTCACTCAGCTGTCACATGTAAGTTTGCTTTGCATGTGTTGTGAAGGGGGTTATTGGATCATACTGAGACCAAAAAAAAAAAAAAAAAGGCTGAGGAAGTTTCTTGTGTGTCCAACATAAAATTACATTGAGGAGATTGTGTTCTGTGTTACATATCCTCCCAGCTATGGGCTATAACTTTTTGTTTTGGAGAAGCATTTGGAATATTTACACACCTGAAGTTTGCAGAGAAGCCCATGCCAGCCTAGCCATGAAGCATTCATGCTTGGAACATCTTTCATGGTTTTGCTTGTTCTGTTGGCCCTAGATTTCCAAGTGGCTCTTAGCCTAGGCTTCCACAGTTGCAAATAGCTTTTGGCAGTGAAAACATCCATCTTTTTTTCTCTTTAAACAGGTACGCGCTGCTGAGGAAATCAAAAGAGAGGCAATCCCTGGATGGTCTCAATAACTTGAACTATTTTCCAAACATTACATATGACGCCTTGTATAAAAACATAACTGTTAACCTGACGCCGGAGCTGGCTCTGGTGAATGAATATTAAGAGGAGATAAAACATTTGCTTTGCCCTTTGCCAAGAAAGCAACACGTTAGACATTCTTTTATAGCATCACCAAGGACAACAAATGCATTGTCTAATGAAGGATCACAGTATAGAATAAGATTTGAAGAATAAGATTGAAAGCGCACGCACAAATCGTCTTAGCTGTACTGACCCAATCCAGTTGTTTGTGCAGCAAGCCTAGTGACTTGATTCGCTTTCTGGTTTTAAGAACAATGGTGTGACCTGCTGCTCTCATCTCTGCATTCCGTCTCCTCCAACAATCTCGAATACTGTAACTGTTCTCTGACACGCTTTTCTCTCATGGAACCAGTTTGGCTGAATGACTCTTTGGCTGCTTGACTTTGGATGCCAGAAGCAATCCAGTAGGCAATGGCCCTAATGGGAGAACAAACAAAACTTATACCATTCTTCTACATTTGTGTGGTTTTTTAAATGACCTGCTTGAAGTATATACAATGGAATCGCTTCTTAAAGAAGTGTAAGTGTAAATAAGCTATGTAAATTGCCTTTTTTATTTTCTTTTACAATTCAAAACCCAAGCTAAAAGTTTATGTATTCAAGTCACTCACATAGGCCCCGATCCTGTAAACACTTACACATGTACTTAAAGGAATGACTTGCATGAATACAATTAAGTGAATGGGACTACTCATGTGAGTAAAGCCATTTTTTTATGTTCGTGCATATGTGTTTACAGGACCAGGGGCCTTAACTGGTAAGATGCAGGAGTTTAGAAACCTGAAGCCACATCTGATGACAAACTGTGGGGAGGGAAGGGTATTGAAACCTACATGAAAAGGAAAAGCATCCAACTTGCATCATTTTGCAACAGACCCTGTGAAAAAATATCACGTCTTTCTATTCTATTCCTGATGGCTTTCTTTGCCTATAAACCCCTGTATCCTATACCTGTTGGCAAGTGCAAGCTTGGATTGTAGACTTATAAAATAAGTCTTTCACACCCCCCATCCCCACCATGCTCCTTTCCACCCCAAGAGCCAGATTCAGCAGAAGGCCTATCTGGTCTCCCTGAACATATCCCCAAGCTCATATCTTCTCTCCTCTATCATGGTCTGTAGGTTTGGGCAGTTGGCTGCAGTTTATTAAATCTGCCCCGAACTTTTAACAGCATTCTGCAGTGGTTCCTCTAATATAATACTTTTTTGTTTTATGCAGTAGTATTTTGCTATATTTATTGTATAAATGAAACAGTACACTGAACTAATGTGTATTATAACCATAGGTAGAACACTTGGTTATGGTCTTTAACCAGAGAAAGCATTGCGCAGGTACAAATAGCGGGACAGATTTAGCCACAGACTTAAAATCACAATGTGAAAAATGAAGGACATTAAATTTAGTTCAGGAAAACATAAGTATCAAGAACTGAAGAGCTTGGTCCATATCCCCATCCAGTTTTATAGATTTTTTTTTTTTTTTTGTTCTTCCCTAGACATGATGTTTTTTGGTTGTGCCTATTTAATTTTTTTTTCTTTTGGTTTAAAACCAATCCATCAATTATACAGCATGTACAAACTCACTTTTACTGGGCCTTCCAGCCAGTAAAAGCTTTTTTGGGGGGTTGCTTTAACATAACATGTATATTTTATATATATATATATAGTGACGTGAGTGCTTAAACCTCAGAAGTTCTTTAACTTTCTTTTATCACATTGTTTGCCTTCTGTTTTTCTAAACTCTAATAGTTTACATTGGTTTTCTTGGTTGCATGGACATATGATCCCCATACACATCTGCTGTGGGTGTGACTGACCAGGCCTCTCTTCTGTCTCTTGAGAATAACTTAGTTTAGAAAACATGGAGTTCTTGTTGTGTAGATCTTATCAATCAGCCTGCATGAGAGGACAGAATCTGCCCTTGAGAGTGCTGATAAATTTGTAATTTAGGTTTAAAGTCTTTGAATACATGTGCTTTAAAATTGCTTCCTGAGGGAATCCTACATGGTTATTTACAGACAGAGGTAAGGATTTTCTTTTATGGCGCATATATAGCAATAAAGACTTTTGCTTCTTACTCCTGTTCTGATTATTGTGGACCCTTTTTAAGTGCAGACCCTTTACTTCCCCTGTCATACCTTTTTAATCTTGAGATGTTGCTAGAAATCTTTATTTAATGGTGCTTCAAACAAGGAATGTATTTCAGATAGTCTGAATTCACCACCACCCGAATCGTGCATGTATGTGAGAGTAGATGTTAAAAGCTGTACTTGAGTTTGAATCCTCAGCTTTCAATGTGTATTTACCATCTGTTGCACCTTCTGTTTTAAAAAGACATTACCTCTACTCAGAAATGCACTCATTTAAGGCAGGCGTAAAAGGGTCCATTTCACCTAATCAACATCACTCTAATTTTTCCCAATCACATTGAGTTGTTTTTTTCCCTCTTTAAAATGTGGAATATCTTAAAATGTGCACTGTTAATCTTATCAGCTAAGTCCAATACTGTATAGTAAATGTAATTGTTTAAAAAAATACTGTTGAGCGCATGTGCTGTTATGGTGTAAAAAGTCTCATACTAGAGAACTGTACATATTCTGGCAGCTGAAATTCACCAAGGCCACTCGTTTATCCCTTGTACATCAACATTGTGTACCAACCCTGCTGGGGGGCAGGACATGATCAATGCTGATTTCTTTTTTTTTTTATGAGCCATGTGGGTTTTTATTTGCTTAAAATATTTATTTAAAGTTTATTTTTAAAGCTCCTCTTCTTTACAGAAGTTACCAACTGAGCAAGAGCCACATGCTTTTTTTTTTTTTTTTTTTTTTTTTTAAGTCATTCACGATCAGAGGTGGCATTAACTCTAGCTATATCCTTTCATCATCATGGCTTTGTGAGCTTCTTAAGTTTTTAAGAGGTGCCAGGGGTACATTTTTGCACTGAAATCTAGTGTTTTAAAACGCACACACTTTTCAGCAAAGCAATCCTTTGTGTCATTACATTTATTTACTCATGTGTTTGTACATTTTTGTATTTGTTAATTTATGAATGATTTTTCAGTAAAAAAATACATATTCAAGACCAAGGAGATTGCAGTGGTGTCTTTCTTTTAAAGGTACTATGTGCTCTTTGAGGGGAGTATTTTATGTACTTTTGATGCATTCAGCACAAGAGTTTTCACTGTTAAAAGAATGGAGACCTCCAGTGTGAAGTTCAGTGTTGGCTTATACAGAGACACCTGGAGCTGCTGCACTGAAGTAAAGATCCCATTGTGCCAGGTACTATACGACCTAATTAAGATGGCTCCTACTCTGGAGAACGTAATGTCTTTTCAGTGCTACCATCTCATCTTTAATGATTAGCAGTGGTCCAGTACACCAGCTTTTTCACTGTTGCCCCAGGTATCTCCCTTTGTCTCTTAAGCTGCCATTCCTCTTTCATGAGCACATGGGCGAAGCTGAAGTGAATGTGGTGGAACTGAGGATTATCCTGATGTGCTGTCACAGGCTGATCAATCCTAAAGAATAAGAATATTAAAAAGGCAAGAGAACTCCCATTAATCCAGTTCAGTATTTGAACTGGGTGAGTCTTGAATGTCAGGTGGAAGCTTAGTAGTCTGAATGGTTTATGGCTGTAATGTGGAATTTGTTGATCCCATCCGTAACATTCAGATATCTGCACCAAACTCTCTGCCTCCATTTTTGCCTATTGGCTAGGAGACTGAAGAAACTCCTGGCATTTCCTTTGACAAAGTTCTCATGAGCAGTCAGTTCATGTTAAAGGGAAGGCTCCTCAGTCATGTCTTCCTCACTTAGGAGTTGAATACAGAATGCTCTTTATCCATTGATGTCAAATGTCCGGGCTACCTATCACACAACTTTTGTGTACCCACTGCTGTCCCTAGTCTGCCTCCTCACATTGCATGTCCCTAGTCTTTGGGAAAGGGCCCAGTATGTGTTACAGATGTCACTGCTATAGCGTAGCTTCCTGACAAAGGTCTTGGTAAACACTAGTTGTCTGTCTCTCTCACCCTTCTTGGTTGCCAAGTATCTGTCTTGTGTATGAGGAAGAGGAAACTGAAATATCTTGGCAAAGGCTACAGAGAGAGCTGGAATCACACTTGCACTTCCTAGTTTTTGGTCCTGTGCCCTAGCTGTGATTGAATGGTGGGAAGGGTATGATTTGTAATACCTAAGGAGTTTACCTGATCTAATCACCTGGGGAAATGGGCATCACCTGTAAAGGGAGCCTTGTGCAGCCTGTGAACTATGTAGTTTGATCACCTGTTTCACTTCACCTTCAGTTCCACTTGGGGACATGATCCTCAAATAAGCAGAGTTAAATGCTCTTAAACTCCGGCCATGCAACAGTTCCTTAAGGCTCAAAGCTCCTGGTATTCTAGCAGAACTTGATCCTTCACTGCTTTGGCTAGGAATAGCTATACTTGTATAGGATCCAGCTGGTGGAATAAGTACAGTCTGGGGTTGAGATTAGAATAAGTGGGTGTGGTGTTTGTGGGAGTTAAGCATACCAGGGCTTCCCCCTGCCTTAAATTGCTTTCTGCTTTTCAGAGGGACTGGAGAGGATGGGTTTTCAGTCAGCAAGCTTGAACAGAGTCAGATTTGCCTCCTGCAGTTCAACTCCTCTTTCAAGCCTTTAAGTGCCTCAAAAGAAATGCTGACATGCTGCTTTTAACTGAGATTGTGCCTTGCCTCATCTCTCCCTTCTCTTAGGAGCTGTTTCCTCCCACTTGCTGTGTTGTTCTCATGGCTACAAAATGACACACTCTCTCAAGGTTCCA